AGCAGGAAACCAAATTGAGACAAACACATCCCTCCCTGAAACCAAACCCCCTCCCATATACCCTTCTCTCCCATACCCCCACACACACTCCGTGGTTCTACATGTGCTGAAAAGAGAAGAGTAAGCTTAGAATAAATCTAATGAATCAAAGGAATAAATGATAATGATAGTAAAGAGTAAAACCCAAACCCAAAAGACCACAACACTCCTGTGTTGTCATTGTCTGAGTGTCTGTCCCTATCTCTCCTGGAGGCTGCAGGCATCAATTTACATAGTACAACCAGTAAACAAGGTTGAAGAATCCAAAAGTGATTGGAAAAATGATTCGTGACCACTTGTCAATGGTGCTGACATCTGTCAGGTCTGGGATTTTGAGCTTCAGCTTAGATGACCGCCGGCGAAGACGGCAGTTGGCACGGTTGCGGGCCGTGGCGTGGTGGGTCAGCGGGACATGACGGTCCAGGGTTGGGTGGTGACCAAATCCATCCCGAGAGGCCAGCTGCTTGCGGAACTGGATTCCTGAGCCTTCAAAGGACATGACAGAGTTTCGAGAGTCGCCAACGCTGCTCATCATGTCCGTGGCCAGCAGCTCGTTGTTCATCTCCAGAGTGCTGAGGAGGATGTTACCATAGGGGTCAACCTAGAACAGGGAAGACAGAGAGAAAGGTAGCAGGGATGTCCAGTGCACAATGCACACAAGGCCACACCATTAGGGATGACTTTTAACTGCTTTCTGTGTAACAGTACCACTGATCAGGTCATTTGTGAGCTCTGAACCTGGACTTCTGCGTTTGAAAATGTTGTCCATTGTTGCTGGAGTTGAAGGACTAGCCACAGGTGCTTGCAGCAAACTTTTGAGCAGGGTACTGCTTGGGGGGGGGGGGGGGGGGGGACGCCCTGCCCTGTGCAAGAGGATGGTCCTGATGAGACTGGCTTGACAATGACGACAAAATGATCAAGGAGAAAAAAAATCCCCAGTAATCACCAGACAGGCAAACTGGAGTTTATCTCTCGTGATGAGGAGAAAGGCTGCTCCACAGCTCACCCAGGACTGAATGAACAGTGGAGAGCCTGAATTCTCCTGCCACAATGAAAGAAGGGGACAAACCTGCTCTCTCACCCTCTTCTCCTCATAACGGTGGCGCTCATTGTTGGCCTTGCTGATCCGTTCACTCTGTTTCTTTTGCTGCCGGGGGCCTCGCCCAAAGAATATGTAGTTGACAAAAGCATACTCCAGGAGCGCCAGGAACACGAAGACAAAGCAGCCCATGAGATAAACATCAATAGCCTTGACGTAAGGGATCTTGGGGAGAGTCTCCCGCAGATGGGTATTGATGGTAGTCATTGTAAGTACCGTGGTGACCCCTGTAAGGAGAGGGTAGGTGCTGTGTTACCAAGGTGGGATGGTTTCCTGAAATGCCACTCTTCATTTCCCTATCCCTTCTCCCAGCTGGACAATCTCAGGAGTGACAGGAACAGTGCAACTGGGAAGAAAATTGTCATTATTCTAAGCCCATCTGCCCAGTACAAATTGCTGCAGAAAATAAACCAGCCGCCAACAGTGGGAGAAAATGTCAAAGTGGAGTATCATCAGGATGATGGGGATCAACATCCTCTACACCTTGATTCTTTAAGTCCTCCCTGATCTTCATTCTTTCCCTCAGTGTGGTAGGAAACTTGCAGCTTTGCTCTCAGTCTCAACCTCTTCTCCTCTCTTTTTTCCACTTCATGAACTCATCAGGCTTCCCTGGTCACTACTGAATGCCTCAGTATCCTTGACATGAATTTACTGTGTCTTTCCAATGCCATGAATAGAAGAAAGAGTAAAGAGATTCCCTGTTCATGGTGCTCTCTTTTTTTGCCTGCCTCATAGGCTTCTGTCTACACCCTTGGCCCCATCAATTCCCACCTTCTTCTCACCGGCTTTACCACTCACTACTTCAATTATCATCTGTACACATTCCTCCCATGGTTCTTATGGTCTCTTTTTTAGGCCTACTCATATTTTCTGCATCTTAAACATTTCTTGGTCTTATTGAACACTTTTTTGCCTTTCTACTCATTCTCCAAGAGCCTGTTGTACCATGATTAGTCTCACAGCTTCAATCCTCTTCTTTAGTTTCTTCTCAGACTCTTCCCTTCTCTGGACTGTCAGAGTGGCCTCAGATCTGTCTCTTTGACAGTCTTCTACCAGCTTCAGAAAGATGGCAATAAGCCTTCATGCTTCTTTTGGGGACAGTGACTTTTCAACCTAGTCTTCTTTTCCCAATTCTCTAGTTCAGCTGTCCTGCTTTTCTTACTACCTTGCTGATCTCCTTTTCTTCTAGTGTCCCTCCTCCTCATCTCTCTGTTGGCAGCTCTTTTAGTCTCCATGACCTTAATTTGCTTTTCTGGTTTCAGCCCTACCTCTACAGTGACAGCTCTCGAGCCTCTCTTTGCATCCTGGACATCTGCTTGTCCTGTTTCCCCTTCCACCTTCCTCCTCATCACATCTTTGCTGTCATTCCTAATAAAAGATTTAAAGAACTAATAGTCTTCAGTTCACAGAAAAGTAAACAGAAGGGAGATATATTTATATACATACAATATATTATATTGTCTATATTTAGACAGTAGCCTAAACATCCAGAAATCTGGCACAAAGAAAGAGGGAATAGAATGTTCTGCACATCTCCATTAAGAATTGGACACATTGCAATGGAGAGTTAGGACAGAGGCAAAGAAGAGTTTTTTGATTGTACAAGCAGATAAATCTGGAATTGCCCAGAGGAGGCTCTGGAGTCTCCTTCTTTGGAGCTTTTTAAGGACAAGTTAGATGGAGACCTGTCAGGAACAGTTTAGGGAGAGCTGTTCCAGTTCTGATCTACAGTGTTTTTATTCTGTCTTCTCCTCTGAATCCAGATGTCAGCAGAAATTCAACAGCTGTGCATCTTGTGTCCACCCTTCTACTTGTACTTTCACTGTGCCAGCAATGTCTGCCCTGGTGTCTTTCTTCTCTCACTGATTATACTCTTGTCAATGCAACTTACCTTTTTAATTTACCATGTTCTTCTTGTTCCTTCCCTGACTCCCTGCTCCAGCATTCCCAAGCAAGCACAGCCAAATCATCTATTTTATATCTTTGTACAAACCATCCCTCCTCTGAGCCTTCCCAAACTCTGTCTTCTCCTAGAGCTAATTTAAGCCCCCAGCCTTTTCTTTAAGACCCAGCCTCTACCTGTGCCCCATTGCCCCTCTGAGCCTTTTCTCACTCACAGATGAAATCCTTCTCCTTCCTTGGCTCTCCTATTTCCTCTGAACTTTGTACCATGTTGCATAGCCCCATTCTCACATGCCAGCCATCCTGCCCCTTTCTCCTGTTCCTTCTTCAAAATCCTCATCTGCAACCCACCCCCACTTTCCTTCTGTTGCTTAAAAGACCTCAATTTTTTCCTCTTATAGGAAAACATTCTTATTTAGGGGAGCATGTACTTAAGGAGAACTTGGATTTTAACTACTGTCCCACATTTTCCTTGGTTATGAAGGTCTTCAGCTATAAAAAGTGTCTGTATGGGGCCTAAATGATAAGGAAAATGTGTAATGCCACTTCCTTTATTTTTTCATCTTTTCCATTCTTACTACTCTTTGGCCACCCACCCTTAGTATTTATCATCAAACTAACCAGTCCTGGCACACCTGTTGACCAAGAGGTGTCCAGACTTCTTTTCTTAAGAAAACAAGTATAAACCAGACTGAAGGAACTTGGTGGGCTCATGGCATGTCAGTCTCACATGTCTGAGAATCTGTGACCATTTATGCTTTTGTTATAGAGTTTAAACTTGCACCCACAGAAATTTACAGTAGAACTTTCACTGATTCAAATAATACAGACTCAAGCTTGGGAAGTACTGATACTTCTGAACAAAAAAAAAATAGCTCTTCTGGCTGAAAATTTGAAGTTTGTTCTCAGAAAAAACTGTCCTTCATTTGGGACAACAAGTTTGATGATAGACCTATGTGGCTTGCTTAGCTGCTACCTCATACAGAATAAGGTATTTTCTTTCTTACAGCTGTCCTAGCTGATCTCCCTCAAAAAACCACCTTCTTCAACACATAATGAAAAAGTACATACCCAGTGCCACTCGTGCAGCAGAAGCATCGTAATTGATCCAGAAGGAGACCCAGGACAGGATGGTGATGAGAATAGACGGCATGTAAGTCTGCAGGATGAAGTAACCAATGTTCCTCTTAATCCGGAAACTCAAGGATAAACGCAGATATGAACCTGTCAATGAGATATTAAAGGGAGATGTTGTTTCAGAGGAGGGCAAGACTGTATTTATGGTAAGAGCTTAGGTTAAGAATTGAAATTTTACTTGGAAAATGTTCTCAAGAGGCAGGGATAATGAGAAATCTCTCTTTTTTTTCTTTATTTGGTTTTGCAGACTGACCAGTTTTTGGAAGGGAGCTCTTCAGAGTCTGCTCAGTTGGCTCAGAATATTAAGAAGAAAGGAAACTCTACATAAGTTACTTTATTATATCAGACATAATGGGACAATGTCTGTTCAGTGCTGAAATTGCTATTATGGTATGCCAATTTCATACAGGTTTACACAGGAGATTTTAACCCCATATCTGGATGCAGTGAGATGATTTTCCAGTGTTTCATGTGCTAGCTTTTCCTCCAAACAGCAATGAAGATCTGAATCATATTTTTTCCATGCTGTTCTAAAAATGGGTTATGGTCAGACTGGGCAAATTCATATGCAAATAGAGTACTGCAAGTTAATCTGTAGGTCTTTTTTTTTCTCCCCAAGTTTTTGCAACTTACTCCTAATCTTTTAGCAAACCTAATGGGGATAGTGATGGCAATAAGTACTTTTACAGTCCTTCCACTGTAGCAGGGTCATTTTGACATGGACAAAGCAGGGCCTCTCTCACTGCTGTGAAATAAAGTCCATGTCATTCCTCCTTCCAACTTCTGTCCCTTAAGCAACACAGCAGCCTGAAATAGGGGTGTAATCGTGGGTTGGCAGCTAAAGTAACAAGAGAACAACAGTCTTTAATGATCAAGGAGGTAGACTGGGAAAAGGTTATGTTCTCTCACGATTATGTGCCATTTGCGTAGCTTGAACACAGTATCTCACCAGTCTTTTTTTGAAGGTCTTACCTATTTAGACTGCGAACATCTTTTTGAGGAACATTGCCTCTTGTTTTGCATCTCTAGATTACCATTGCAATGGGACCCTGCTCCCAGTATGACCCCAATGCACTATTGTAACAACATCACTGTCTGCCACCACTGTTGATAGACTCAGGCTGTGATTTCACGGCATTTCAAAAATTGTCCTATTTAACAGATGTGTGGCATGCTGTTTTGGCAGTGAACTCCATGCCGGATCAAAGTGAAGACAGCAACCAAAATCCAAACCCCTCCAACTTTCAAACTGACAGTATCTGAGTCGTGCAAGGTATTCTCTCCAGATCTTTCTGTTGCTGTGTACAGATGGGTTTGCATCATTTCATAGACCACTTGCTTTTCAACTGATATATTCCTCTGCTTACTATTGCACCTACATTAGCTTTGAGAGCCAGTTGCAAAACACATAAAAATAAGGTAAAGGCTGAGAACCTTCTAAAGAGGTTCTGGTTTGAGCTCAGTTGGTGTTTTGACTAAGAAAAGAAAACAACTGGGGAAAAAAAAAAGATCCCATAAGTGTCTGAAGAGAAGCAGCCAAAAAAACCCCAAACTTGGTGAACACAGAAGATGCCTCTTTTCCAAAGGAACAGAACCCTAAGTTGAAGCCTAGATCCTAAGTTAGTACCTCAGCATCTGAATCAGAGGAACAACCACATTGATGTTGATCAGCAGAAGGTTTGCACATTCCATTGCATCCCTTCAGCAGAGACTCACCAGTGGTGAAGACCACTTCCCTGCTGACCAGCCTCTGCTCGATTATGGTGAACTGGGGCAGTTCTAGCACCTCCATCCCTGTGACAGCAGAATCATTTCCTTGCCAGAAGAAGACAATGTCATCAACCGTGTAACCATCTGCAGAGATGAAGAAGCACAGAGAGAGAGCTAAGCTGATAAGCTGAAGCAGATGACACCCCCATTTTCACTAAGGCGATCTGGAAGAGGATCCAAAGGAAAGCCCACACCATCAGTTAGCAAGCATAGCCGCTCTCTGCTGACGTACTTTTCTTCTTCAGCTGAGCTTGGAAGTACAGTCCTCAGGAGAAGAGGAAAGAATTGGTCAGAACTCACATTTCTAGCCAGAATTCAGGTGAAAAAGGTAAGAAGTGTCCCATCATGCCTTGACTTGCGCTACATAATCTCCATGGCTGACATGACAGGGACCTGTGCATCAGAAGCCTCTGTCAAATGCACCAAACACGACATTTTGGTTTTTAAAGACTGCCTCCTTTTACCAGAAGGGGGAGACCACACAATACATTCTGGTGGGGACTAGGTAAACAGAGCATCTAAGTATTAAAAATTCCCAGAAAGAAAAAGATTTACAACAGCAGTTGAAAAGAAAATTGAGCATCAGAACACATCCCTCTTCTAAGTACTCTCAGTCAAAATTTGGAGCTGGGAAGTGGACAGTCTCTGAGATAGGGCTGCTTTTACCAAGTGCTGGCTGAAAAGAGCAGTCAGTAAATGGAGAAGAGAGGAAGGGGAGTCAGGCTGGTAACAAATACTCACGGGGAATGAGGCCCAGGGGATGAAATCATGCAGCTCCCCTCCCATCAGTGTGATGTTCACAGCCCTGCCTGTTGCCCCTGTGGGGCAAGGATTCATCTCCACTTGAAAATTATCACTGCTTGTGGCAAGCTGGGTTTTGAAGCACTGTGGCTATTGCTGCACAAGGGGTGGCCTCCTATTCTAAGCAAAGTGCAGAGCTGCATGGGAGCACCTCCATGTGCAAAGAAGCAGTAAGATATGTACAGACTTTGGTATGGCATGGTGCAAGGCTTGCTTTAGAGCATCAACTTCACCTATGCCCATGGACAGCTCTTATTCACAACCTGCACTGCAGCACGACAGCCTGCCTTATCCATAAGCCCTCACAGTAGAGAGGCAGATGGCTAGCAATACCCAGCAAGGCTAGCATCCACTGAGGAGAGCTGCCACCAAAACCAGCACCAGTGTATCAGTGGGATCAGGGGAATGAAGAGCTGTTGAATGAACCGTGGAGAAGAAATTCTTTTACCTAGCCTTAGGGGACAAGGGTTAGCCCAGATCAGAGCTGAACCTTTGAGCATGGTGTCATCCTGCAGCTCCTGAGTGAACAAAGAGCTGAGCAACCTAGTCTGATCTCATAGCTGACCCTGCTTTGAGCTGGGGGGCTGGACTAGAGACACCCTGAGGTCTCTTCCCAAACTGAACTCTTTGATGGCTGTGTAGTCTCCAAGCCCACATCCTGCACTCTCAGTGATTACTGCGCTTATTCATGGGTGCTAAAAAATAACAACAATCTTCCAAATGCCATGCCAGATCTGCTTCCGATATAAATCATCTAAGCCAGGGCTCCACCTCCTCCCCCCATGGCATGCTCCTGCTCCCAAGGCAGTAAGTGGTAAAGCACCCACACCCACGAGCCCACAGAGATTCAGGACCCTTACATTATCATCTCATCTGCTGCAGACATTGGGGTGTCACAGGCTGTTGCACTGCCTCGAGTACCCCAGTTTTGTGCACAGAAACAGATATTTCCATCTGGCTGCAGCATCTCTCACAGACCACTAAAAGCAAGTGTGAAAAGCAGCAAGAAACCAAGTCCCCCACTCCTCCCAGTGGCTGACTTCAGCAGCTCAAACACTCTGTCAGCTAAAAAACATTGTATGCTATTTTACATTTGAATTCATCTGGCTCAGACATGGAGACTCTGGTGGTTATTCTGAATTTTTCTAGGAGGTTACTAAGCTCTTTCCACCCTGTGCTCCCCCTCTGCAGAGGTGCACCCAGCCTGTAAATAAGTCACCTCTCTACCTCCTTTGCAGTAAACGAACTAGATTGAGCTATTGAGGTTTCTCACTGCAAAACATCTGCTCTAGCCCTTGAACTGCTTTTTAGCATCTTTTCTCAATCTCTTCTGATTTCTTAACTTCTTTTCTAAATTTTGGAAACCAAATATAGACAGAGTCCCTTCCTTCATCTCACCAGCGACATATTCAGAGGCCAATCGATTCACTGCTCTGACTCACGGCTCCCCTGGTTTATATAACCAAGGCTCACTCCAGCCCTTTTTGTCAGAGCCCTGCTATGAAACCTCCAGCAGCGGTGCCTGGGGCTGCCATCCCGTCATCATTTTCCCCAGTGTGGGTTACGAGTCCTTCAGTCTGGCAGCCTGGCCCGCGCTCCCACACCCAGGCACAGACCTCCACATTTAGCTCTATTCAAATGCATTCTGGATGTATTCAAATTGGGAGGTATTCAAATGTGCAGCAAGCAAGCCACGCAGACTGCTATCTATCTTCATCCACAAATTTAACATCAGTGACTTCAAATTTACTTCCCGATCAGCAATGAAAATGTCAGATTACAGTAACTAATTTTAGGAGATCTCGCAGTTAACTAGCTCTATTCCATTTATTCTATGACCTGCTGGTATTGGGTACCAATTTTTGTATTTTTTTTATTTATTATGGCATTATGCAATATGAAATCAAACATGTTTTTCAGGAAGCCATTTTTAAAAGTGAATCTAAAGGGAAAGGTTGTTCAGTCTAAAAATAAATGCTTTGCTTTGATTTCTAGCTTTAAAAAGAAAACCAAATTTCCATTTTACTTTTAAAAAGTAAAAGAACTTTCACAAAGACAAGTATTTCAACATGAAATATCATGAAGTATTGATATGTCATCTTAAAACGTCAGATCAACAGCCTGTTTGCTGCCTGCCTCATCAAGTTTTTGTTGAATCCTGCACAGCTAGGCAGGGGTATATGCAGTGAAGGCTGTTTTTGGGAAGGAGGGATGGGATCAACAGGCAGTGCCAGCACTGGCTTATCTTCTGCAGGTACGTGCCCCAAGCTGCTGTGGGGAAGGAGACCCCAGCTGCCTGCTGCTGCTTTACAAACCCAGCACCTCTGCACCACAAAAGGGCTATTTTGGTGGCTTGTGGTGGTTTGGAGTTTTTTTACATACTTTGTTTTTTAAGCCAGCCATAAAAGGACTGTTATTCCAGCTTTGTGTGGACTTGGAAGCAAACAAAATGGAGCCCTGTGGATTTTGAATGTGCAAGTGTGTAAAAGACAAAGGCTCTGAGGAAGGAAACAATTGAATCTCTTCATCTCTGTGTGTATCTTAGAAATATTGTAAGGAAATGTAGCTTCGACTAACAAATTGGCTCGACATGTCCCATTAAGAACATACTCACAACATGGGGAACTGTGGGTAATTCTCTGCCTTCTGTTTTCTTGGTTGTACCATAAACTATTCTCAAAATGCTAAGGAGTGCCAGAAATGACATGTCATTAGTGCCTCCAGCAGGACCTAATTTACATCCCATTACCCGCCACGCCAAGTGCTGTGATGGCTGTGCATCCCGAGCAATCTGAGCGGCAAGCAGGCTGCCAGGCACAGGCAGGGCTGGTAAGGCAGCACAGCACCTTCCAACTATGGATGCTGTGTGACCTCTTTTACGAAAAAAGCAATTCTCTGATAATCATCACTGAAGCTGCATCATCATTACTGTGAGATCTGCTGCTCTGGACCGCTCCTGCAGGAATACTGTGGTGCATTTTTATGAGGGAGAGCCAGACCTCCTCCACCACCGCGGTCGGGAGAGGCTTTCCATAGGAGTCAAGGGAAGACACAAGTGGGGAGGGTCTGCAGGAGGGCTCAGGTCCCACCTCTCATGTAGAGTAGGGACAGCCACAAGCGAGGGCATACTCCCAGGGCTTTCTTAGGGCTAAAGGAAGTTTCCCTTCTCCCGAGGGTGAGAGGGATTTTCATGCCCAGCCTGCTGTTAAAGCTCCATTTTCCTGGGCACTTTACCCACGAGGTCCCCTCAGGATGGAGTTTGGATGAGGGAGCCTGGTCCTGCCCCAGGGGACATCCTCCAGGAGGGGTGGCCGGTAACACCCCCGGGAGGCATCCCATGAGTGGGAAGTTGCAGCTGCGGCAGGTGGCATTGGGTGGCATTGCGTGGCAGAGGGTGGGTGCCAGGCATACGCACAGCTCTCGATCTCCAGCGTGCAGTTCTGCTGGTCCAGGGGGTACCTCCGCAGGTCCATCATGCAAGCAGCTGTGGTAGTGATCCTGAAAGGGGAAGGGAGGACAATCAGTTATATGTTTTATATTACAAAAAAAAAATAAAAATCAGTTGTATGTTTTTTCTTACCCAAAAAAAAAAAAAAAAAGGAGAAATGAAAGGCAGACGTGAAAGGCAGCATTTGGGGCCGCCGTTTCCCTGGAAACCAGGGAGATCCGTGGTGGGAGGTGTGCAGGGCGGGGGGCTGAATGCGGCTCACCCTCAACTGCACAGCTTAAACCCTTCGTGACTCACGTCAGCAAGGCAGTATCTCTATTAACGGGGTGGGGAGGGATTTGCGTTCTCTCCTTGAGAGAGGCAAAGAAACAGGGAGTAGGCAGAGCTATGGGCAGGGGGGAAGAGGAGAGGCACGTTAGCTTGTAAGAGGCAGACAGCTGACAGTGTCTGTAAAATAGAAGATGCATTGATTAAATTGTCCAGCAGTGACCTGTAGAGAAGAATAGCTGACTACATTACCACCCCTGCTTTCCTCCT